ATTTAACTTAAATAAAATGATTTCTCAATCCAAAAACAAAATTTGACTAATTTTAATTTTTTAAATCAAAATCCTCAGTCACTTACAAATCCTAAATTTTCAATTTGCAATTTATTTTTCAAAATTTATAACAAAAAATCAAAATTTTAAAGTAATAAGATCAAACAGATTTTATCAATTATACTAAAAATAGATCTAGTATATAATAAAAAAATAAAGCAGTAAAATAGTTTCAAATCAACAGTTTAAGATAAACACATCAAGTCTCACTACTTTTAGTAGCTATAATCACATCATATCCCTTTGACTTTTCGATCCCTCAGAAATTTGAATTCCTCAATTTCGTTAAAAGGCAAGCTTAACCCAAAGTTTTCAGTGAAAACAATAAATTATAAATGATATATATTTTCAAAGAGTCTACATAATTGAAATTTAATAAATCATATTAAGAAAATTAGAAAATTTAATAAAATTAAATAATTTTTAAAAATTATAAAACATCACAATAGGTTAAGAACTATTCACTTACAATGCCAAATTCAAGTTCTCTAATAAAATATGTGTTAGAAAAATTAATCTCCACTATACACACAATTATAATAAAGTAGAACACAAATAAAAAGAGACAAAATTTAATGTGGTTCGACAAACATACTTTCATCAACGAACAAGATCGAAAAAAAAATTTTCACTATGTTCAAACGAAAATACATCACTACTGATAAAGTTATAGGAGCTTATATAAAGAAATTATGAGAGTTTTTCTCCCATAAATCTCTTTAGAATATATATAAAAGATCTCCTTCATGATAGATTTCATGAATAAATTATTGTTTACGAAATTATTTTTTTAATTTTATTGCTTCTGTTTAATAAAAAAGATAATTAGAAAAAAATTAATCTATTTCGGTCTAGACTAATCCAATTTCAGTCTAATAAATTTTAGTTTGATATTTAATATGAAACATGAGGAACAAAATTCTATAATGATCTCATCCGGTTATGAATCTATAAGTATCTCTATGTATATTATTATCTCTTGGCAAATACAACAAAATCTTATTTTTTTCATATAATTATTCGTAGGGTTCTTGGTGCTCTCAAAAATATTCTCAAATATCACACACTTTTTACTTCCTCTTCTTCCTTTACCTCTATGTTTCTTATTATTTTACTAAATTCAAGTTCTCTAATAAAATATATGTTGAAAAAATTAATCTCTACTAATAAAAAAATTATGAGAGTTTTTCTCCCACAAATCTCTTTAAGATATACACAAAAAATCTCGCTCATGTTAGATTTCATAAATAAATTATTATTTATGAATTTATTATTTTTTAATTTTATTGCTTCTGTTTAATAAAAAAGATAATTAGAAAAAAAATTGATCTACTTTGGTTTAGAATAATCCAATTTGACCCGTAAATTTTAGTTTGATATTTAATATGAAATATGAGGAACAAAATTCTATAATGATCTTATCTGATTCTGAACTTATAAATATCTCTATATATTATTATCTCTTGATAAATACAATAAAATCTTATTTTTTTCATATAATTTTCATTAGGTTCTTGGTGCCCTCGAAGATGCTTTATAACTAATTTCATATTAGTAAAAATATTTTTAATAAAAATCAAAATTAAAATATGGTTCTGATATATCTAAATTAAAAATACTACTTTTCTAAAAAATGGTTTAAACTTTCAATATTTTTGTTCATAAGTTACCATTGATTAATTAAAAAAAAATTAGATACTCTCATTCATTCTACTTTGTCCAATTGCTGTCACGGCCATCCGCTAGCCACCACCCTTAGCCACCAGTTGACTACCGGTCGCCACCCTCTACCATCATCAAGTCACTGGCCGCTGTCCCCCACCAATCAGACATTGCCCTTCGCCAGTTGGTCATCCTTTATAGCCAGCCGGCCGTTGATCGTTGTCAGCTGGCCGTCATTTGACAGTAGCCAGCCACTACCAGTTACCCTTCCCCGTTTCTCGTTGCCCAATCTTTGACGCTCGTCCTTTGCCAGCCACCACCCATTGTCCATTACTTTGCCGCTTGTCACATGTTGCTTGCTACTGTTGTAACGGCCCCGGAAATATTAAAATGAAATGAGTATTTAAATATATCAAATGCGGAAGCGAGATCAAAATTTCAGTTAACATCCCTTACACGAAAAATCAAAAACGTACTTAAAATATAAAAGATTAAACTAACTAAGAGAGAAACTCGAAAATAAAACTATGAGTATGACTACAGAGTCTCTAGGTATCCCCTTCGTCGTCCTCCTGCGGAACGGGCTCGGGAACCATGTCTTCCTGATCTGAAATGGTTAAATAAGGAGTGAGCTACACTAGCCCAGTAAGAACATCACGATATCTCACCGTCACGGAGGTAAAGGTGGGTAGAAAAACACAAAAAGACCAATGGAGCATAATTTACAATAAACTCGTTTATTAACATGAAAACCTTTACCATCCACTTACCTCGGTGGAATTTATGAAAACAATATAAGAAAAATAATAACATTATCACAATCATGGAATAATATAAGCTGTAAAACATAGCACTTATCACGCCTTTTGTAATTTAATCATTATACAACATATCCTTTTCTCATTTACCAGCCTACTAGTATCCATGGGGGTCCCTAGGGGTCCCGCTACCCGTTAACCTTTAACATTCATAATCAGTTTCCAGGGCCGTCCCCATACCCCGTCCGGTATGGGCGCCAAAACCATAAACCTCAATACCCCGTCCGGTATGAGGGTGAAACGGGCCGTCCCCATACCCCGTCCGGTATGGGCGCCAAAACCATAAGATCTCCATACCCTGTCCGGCATGTGAGACCACAATCCCGGTAGGGTTCCCTACGGACCCGGTCCGTCCACCATCTCCCAGGATATCTAGTCAGGCTGACCCCATCATACAATTATCAGTCTACACAATGTTTCATTTCCCTTTTCCTCAATAAGCATCATCAATTCACATTTAAACAAGCAAATCGTAATTCATGCCGAACAGACAACATACAGTATCAGTTCTTCAGTCATTCAACCCATAATTAATAAAACAGTAATATATGCATTCGAAACTATAAAATGAACACATCAAACCCCATAATGCATTTAAAGCTGTAAAACAGTGTAAAACAGGCCAAATAACAGTAAATCATCAATCACACTAGACTCGGGCTCCATTAGCAACCTTAAGCAATTTCACACATGCGTTAATTCAAGAAATACCGTTTTATCATTTTGAACTTTAATACCGTGATAGGAAATAGGGTGAGGGGTCCTTACTTGTTTTCGGGATCCGAATACGATTCACAGTGCGCCTGCAGGCCGTCCCTAATTTTCCCTGAATTTTTCTCGGGGAACTAAAACACACTAACAGTACCTGCACGTGTTCCAAAAAAATCCAAATTAGGCCCAGGGCCCCTTTCGGACCAAATCGCAACTCCGGCACGGCGGCTCCGCCGTGCTCCGGCGACGGCGCCGCCGCTGGCGGCGGCGAGTCGCCTCGGGTTGGCTGTTTTCGGCCGTTTTCGGCCGAATTCGGCCACACTCGCATTGGTCCTTGTCAGAAAACAACCCTAGGGCCCTCGGGGGGCCAAAAATCACGGAAAAAGCGGAGCTTACCGGCGGCGGCGCTCTCGGGTACGGCGGCTCTCCGGCGAGGTTCGTGTTTTGGTGATTCGGCTTCGGTCAACCTGTAGAGAAAAGAATGGTGATCACGGTGATATAAAAATTGCATCGAACGGAGGCCGGGAAGGACCTCGTCGGAGGCAAAAACCGAGAGGGACGCGGCGGCGCCCCTGGGTTTCGGCCGCGTATTCCGGCCGTTTGGCCGGGATTTCGGCCTCAATTTGTCCATAGGAGGAATCAGCGGAGAAAAACGAGTCGGGGGTATGAAATTTAACTCGATCGGCGGTCGGAAATTTCCCCGGTGCGGCGGCGGGTGGCGGCGGTCGGCTTCTGGTTCGTCTTTTCCGGCGAGCGGCGGGCGGCTAGGGTTTGTGGTCTGGTGTGGGGGTTCTATTTATAACCCCTTGCCTTTTGATCACAGCCGTTCATTTCGTTTTAATCTGGGCCGTTCGTTTTTGATTGAATCTGGACCGTCCGTGCGATTGAATCTGGGCCGTCCGATCGCGCGATTGATCTGGGCCGTCGGATCGCACCCACGCGGATCGCCAACGTGGCTCCTTTCGGAGTGACGCGGTCTTGCCACGTGGCAGGCCCCGGTTGGCCGGGACTGCTGACGTGGCTGCTGACGTGGCCCCCCTTTTTTTTTTTTTTTTTTTTTTTTTTCCTCCTTTCCGGGTGCTACAACTGTCCATGTTGAATGTTATTATTATTTATTTTATAGACTTTATCAATTACGAATTTAATAAATGATTAAGATTTACAAATTTAATAATTTTTAACTTTTATTAATTTAATTAGTTATTTTTAATTTAAAAAATAATTAATATATTAATTAAATTTAACTCAAATCAATTTAATTAGTTATTATTTTAATCCAAAATAATAAGGCCTAAAATTTTTTGATCTAAGAAATCTGATTTCAAATAATCAACACCTTAAATTAAACTACTATATAGTATTTGCAGTTTACCAGTTAGTATAATTGCCTTTCAAGAAATAAACATATTTTTCTTGCATAAAGTTGTATGATACTGTTTTATATTATTTTATTTATTCATAAATTATCTAACATTTGATACTGTTTTCCAAACAATAGATATAAACTAGACTTCTATTGTTCCATTATTATTCTACCTGAAGTTAGTAATAACTAAATTTGAATCATGTTCTTGAATAATGCTAAGTTGGAATTGAGTCCTAGAATAATGCTAAATTCGAATCATACTCATGAACAATACTTTTGATTTGATGGATAACCTTATAAAAATTTGTAAACTTTAGAAAAAATTTATAATCATAGTTATAATCATGTTCATGAACAATACAGAAAAGCTTATATTTATCCTTTTATATTGGACTCGTATCATCACAGTGCAGTGAAATCTGACCAGCAGATGAAACAGATGGGTGCAACAAAGATCCTCCAAAACAAGTGGTGGTTGAAGCAGAAGAAGAAGAAATGGGCAAATAAACCACATTAGGCCTTGATTCTGGCAACTCCATTAAAGGCTCATTTGGGTTCAAGAAAATCTGGACAACTTTTCTGATATTCGGACGACAATTTGAATCTGGATGCAGACAAGCCAGTCCAATAATCAATGTTCTCCTTGCTTGTTCCTCATCAAATTTACCTTCTAGCAATCTATCCACACCCTTCACCAATTCATTTTTACCATACAAGTTCCATATGCAATCCACCAAGCTATTCTCTTCCTTGATCCCTTTTGATCGTCTTCCCGATATGACTTCAATCACCACCATTCCGAAACTGTAAATATCAGACTCTGGTGTAGCTTTTCCAGTGAAGGCTACTTCTGGGGCCAAGTAGCCTGGAGTACCAGCCAACACAGTTCTGACAGAAGCATCATCTTGTAGCATTCTGGCCAACCCGAAATCACCTAAATGAGCAATGTATGTGGAGTCTAGCATTATGTTGTTAGGTTTGATATCCCTGTGGATGACAGGGTTGCCACATTCGACGTGAAGGTACAGTAGTGCTGAGGCTAAACCTGTTAAAATGTTGTACCTGGTTTTCCAGTCCAGATCGTTCTTGCCTATGTATCGATCAAGGCTGCCGTTAGGCATGTAATCATAGACCAAGAGGAGATTTTTACTTTCGTGGCACCAGCCTTGAAGTTGAACTATATTTTTGTGCCTTAAACGCCCTATTGTGCATATTTCTGCAAAGTACTCTTTCTCACCTGATATGTAAAACTATATTCAAATGCTAAATCTCCAGTTCTAATATTATGTTATGTAATTGTTCGCGTTCAATAATTATTTTAAAAATTTAAATTGATACGAAAGTTGAACCTATTACTTATTCATTAACACGAACCTTGTTTTGAGGTTGCTGAGATCTTTTTGACAGCAACAATTGTAGGAGGATTAAAGGGTAAGTTGCCTTTATAAACACTCGCAAATCCACCCGAACCTAACAGGTTTTCGTTGTGAAAGTTGCGAGTGGCCTTTGCGAGTTGCTTGTAGGTGAACATTTTAGGCACATTTGCAGCGCTTCTTGATCTGCTTTCTATATCTGTTTTCTGATGAGTCTCCTCTTTTCCTCTCCTCAAAATTCTCTTCATCCATGGAAAAATAATCACTGCCAGGATTACCAATCCGGTAACGAAAGGGAAGAAAATTGCCACAATAAATTTTATCTTGTCATGTCTGTGAGTTCCTTCCTTCGGAGATGGCAATGCTGTCAACTGGAACATCCAATTCAGGAGCTGATGTCTTTCTGAATACAGCCCTGTAGCAGCTGTGAAGCCTACGTAAACAGAGTTCGGAACAAGATCTTTGAGGTCTATTGATTGGTTGAGGAAGCTCATAAGTGGGTTACCAGAGAATGCTACGGAAACCTGGAGCATCTTTGTCCAACCATTATAATCAATCTTTACCTGGATGTCTTTTCCACTTTTCAGATCAATTCCAGTGCTATTCAGACTCTTTGCTACTACTGATTGCATACTTTTTATGTTGATTCCAATGTGGTTTCCGTCTGGATCAAACTCGTTCTTGAAAGTGTCCAGCTCTACCGCTACTTGGCAGCCACCTGAAATTTGGACATAATTGAAGATTTTCATTATTTCGAATCTGCCATATTTTAGCACTTTTTAGACAGAGCAAAATTAAGATATACTAGTCTGGATAGATTAGTCACCTGACGCTGACTGATCTAAAATTCCGACCGAAGAGCCATAACTTTCTGGAGGCGAAGAGCTATTATCGGGGGCAATTATAAATGCCATTCCATCTCCAGGACCGCTAGAATTTGGAAAGACGGAAATCCTGACAGTAAAGGTAGTCGAGATAAGTGTGTGCCAAGCAATCACAGGATGAGGGTATAGAACTCGGCCAACTCTGTTTATTGGCAGAGTTGTGGGTGAGCTCGAATTTCCTAGTTCAGGATCTGGGGTGAGGTTTAGGTAGCCGTTGGCAGCGGAAGCCGAATTCAGGCAAAGCAGGCTTCCTTTGCTGCAAGTGTCAGGGTAGAATGAGGTGAAGGAGAAGAAGGCAGTTTCTGCAACAGAGCTTACAGAGGCTTGGCCAAGTGAAGTATAGAAGAATAGAAGCAATAACATGATTCAGAACTTATGTTACACAATAAAACAGTTTTTAACTGTATATTATACACACACACATATATATACATATATGTATATTACACATTTATGAGGTTATGTCTTCAAAGGAGTTTTAAATGACAAGGCAAATGAAATTCAGAATCTTGTTTTACAATTCAGATATTCAACATTTTGTCTTCTTTGCTAAGTAGCGTTATTTTTGTAAACAATTATGTATAAGATTAATAAGAGGACAAAAGGCCATTCAACATTTTTTTATTTCTAAATTAAAGGTAAAGATTCTACCTAAAAGTCGATGATTAAAGTGATTTTATTAAAATTTTTCCCCCTTGACTTTTTGTCTCATTTGAACTTGTGTTCCATTAATATATTTTTTTTTAATATTCAAGAAAAACTCCTCATATGCTGAGATACTCGAAAGAATTATGTTGTGCATATTTATAATACATCCAACAGGAAGAGTATATATATGTAGTCTTTTTATTATTATAATCTAAAACTAAATTTAGAGTGAGATAGGTCAGAGAGGAAGAAAATGAAAGATACTAATTATCTGTTCAAATAAAAAGATACTAATTAATAAAAAATAAATAAACAATGTAAATTTTAATATCATACTAAAAATATGTAAAATTATTGAGCACTATATAAACGTTCAATCACATATCATAAATAATTTAAATTCAAACTTTTGAAATCCGGTAGTCTGGATTCAAAATTAATGAGTTAATGGTATTTGAACTAGAAACTTTATATTAATATGCATAACTAATGTTGAAAAAAGAATTATTAATTTAGTCTCTATTTATATGTCAATATCATATGCTTTCTTGACCCTTTATGTTAATTATAATACATACATATTTGGAATTTTTAATGACAACTAGGAAGAGAAGAATCGGGTGGTAGTAAGTATCAAAATCTGAGTAGCCAAAACATGCATTTGGTAGGTAACAATGAATCTAGTATATTAAAATTTTCCTTAACTAAAATACCACCTTTTGCTAGGGAAAACTTGCGGTTTTTTCCCTCGAGCTTTTGATAACTAAAGATGTCATTAGCGAACCGACTACGCCCATTGGAACAAACATCTTAACCTTTGTCATCTAATACTGCTGCAATAGCTGATAGAAAGAAAATCATAGCGAATTAAGATTGCTCGGCAATGATGACTA